CTCAACCTCTGTCTTCTCGTCTATCTCTCTCTCTTGATAGGAACTACGGCTGGCTAGCCGTCCTAACCTCACGAGCCACGGCAAGTCCAAGGTTGCCGGGGCTCTGATGCAACACGCACCGAGACTCTGTCGGTCGGTCCTACTAGCCAACGTGTGGGAGGCATCCTCTACAGCAGAGGTTCCCAAAGCGTGGGTCGTGACCCACTGGCGGCTCGCGAATTGATTTTAGACGAGGTAGCTGAAAGGTTGAAAGCTACGTTTGGATTTTCATTGACAGTGGTTCACTTCTCGAGAACACGCCTGGAAAGTTTCCGACTTTAAATCGTAGCGAAAGAATATATTCTTGGTTAATTTCCATGATATCCCTTTGAGATATTGCCATTTCTCTTCTGCCAGTTTTCGAAACCGGGTTTCAGCCCATAACAGTTTAGGGACCGCTGACTCTGTAGACAAGAGGTGAATGATGGGTCATAATTCGCAACATTCTTTCCTGAGAAGCTTTCTCTAGCTTTATCGCTGCTTCTTTTGTAGCCACTTTTTATTTCGAAATTTCGAACCTTTTATTATACTTGGCACTTACTTGAAATGTACGTTTCAAACGTGCCAGTAACGCACTGCGGCAAAGAAGTGAAACGCTGTGAAAATTGACTAAGAAAAGGATAGATTTCGAAAGGTTGACCCTTAGTACTAAACGCCGCTGTGATATTGACGTCCGGGTTGTGACATTTTAAATCGAAAGCTGCAAATGAATAATTGAATTCCTTAAAACTAGTCGTACCGACACTTTTCCTACCGTAACCAGTCAAATAACTACAAAACAAAGGTGAGCAAGTTAGATGATAGATGTTTTTTAGTAGAAACAGGAAGGAAAGACAAAAAGTGAAGAACTGATTAATTAGACAAGATAGAAATTAATATAAAGTTAAACAAATAAAGTAAAACGCAGAATTTTAAATCCGGTCGTTTGACCGGTTTTCGGTTTGGTATTAAATAACGGGAGATCGAAAGATCGATACATGGTTTCCTTTCTTTCTAGTCTTTAAATGTGTTCGGAAGTTTGAATGATTTAGTCATTTGAACGATTCTCCTCCTCGAAGGGTGAATTATAAAGTAGTATCTGTTGATCATGTGTTTGTGGCATATACACGTAACAGGAACCGATTGTTTTGGTAATGAATTTTTATCACGGTAATATACTGTCAAAGGCGTGAAATGTTTCCTGATAAAATTGGTTACTGCCTGGCAGTTGCACAGGGACTGATTATTTCACTGGGAACAAAGTGGCGATGCTTCTTTTATTACCCGTTGCATTAGTCCGTTTCTTAAAGTATTTATTTCAATT